ATGATTGGGTTGAAATGCCTTTTGATTTTTTTTTTTTTGGTATCTATTTTGTTAGACAAAAAGAAATTGGTTTTACAATTTCATATATCAATTTAATCTTAAATTTTGATATATTTTATTGGACCTAAATTTTTATTGTGTCAATTGATCAATTATTTTAATAGTATTCCCCCCCCCCCCCCCCCCAATTGAAAATCCTAGCTTTGCCCCTAATTGCATACCATGTTAATAGAAGATGATCATAGAGAATGTGCATTCTAATGATATGTTTAACTCGCTAATATTTTGGTGGGATTGATCTTCAAATGTGATCCTCCGTTTTGGGACCTTCCTTTTTGGATGGAGCAAACAATTGTTAGTTGGCAAGATTTTCATTCCTCATAGTAAAACAAAATGTAAATTAGGTTTCTAGTTCTTATTGCCTAGAGATAGATATTACAAACCGTACTTAGATTGCCCATAAGTGGTAACAGTACAACTCATGCAAATAGGAGCATGTTTGGATGACGGAAAAGTGATAGATTGGATTACTTTTTTCTAAGTCCTTCCAAATCCCACATAATTGGATTTGTACATAAGATTCACATGTGTATCCCCTCTAAATCCATAATTGGATTTTGACATAAAATGTAGGACATGGATTGAGGAATTGACTAAAATGCATATAATTCACTCCAATCTATATATGTTATTTGTGTTATAAAACTACCAAATTATGTAGTGCAGTTCAAACAAAACAAATTGAGAGATATGACAAAGATATACATTGGGTATGCTATTCATATAGAAGTAGAAGGCCTATGTATAGGAGAAATACATAACTCTATTGTACTGTCGCTAGAAGTGCAATTATACATAGGCATAAATACAGTGGTGGTCATCCATCTTCTACCCGTGTGCCAATGTCATTTACAACACTATTTGGTAATATGTGTCACTATTTGTATACAGTAATCTACACATCATGCACAATATTTATAACACTCCCCCTTGGATGACTATTTAAATAATGCTAGGGTTAAAAATTCGATTTTGATAATCCATTGGGATCCTAAATATTCCATCGTTAAAAACTTGGCTAAGTAAAGCTTAGAAAAAAACCTAGCAAAGGGAAAAAGAGTACATGCCTCTCCCTATTAAATACATCCAGTCAAAATGATGATTGTTCAGCTTGACAAATCTTTGAGACACCGCATTCTAATTTGGTTCGCTAATTTCTGGAATATAGTTGGTGGAAGTGCTTTAATGAACAAATCTGCCAGATTTTAAGTTGAACATTAAAATCACCATTTTTCTCCAGCTTATAGGTGTAAAGAACTTTGGTGATATATGTTTTGTTCTTCACCTTTATATCTTTCCTTGAGCTGTGCGACACAAGCTATATTATCCTTGTATAATATAGTTGGAATACCTTTGATTGAAGATAGTCCACTTTACTTTTGAATATGTTGGATCATGGATCTTAGCCAAATATATTCTCGACTTGCATCATGAATGATTAATATCTTGGAGTGATTGGATGATATAGCAATCATTGTTTATTTAACCAATTTTCATGATATAGTCGAACCACCATAAATTAACACATATCTAGTTTGTGATCGAGCCTTGTGAGGATTAGAAAGATAACCAACATCTGCATATCCAACTAATTGCGGACTTTTGTCATTCACATAGAATAACCCTATGTTCACCGTTTCGCGAAGAAACCACAATACATGCTTAATTTCATTCCAACGTCTTTGAATTGATGTTGAGTTGTATTTTGCTAGTATGTTTGTTGAAAATGATATGTCTGGTCTCGTACAATTTTCTAGATACATTAGTGCACTAATTGCACTAAGATATGACACTTCTAGACTAAGAAATGTTTCATCTTGCTCTTGAGGACTAAATGGATCATTCTTTGTATCTAATGATCGGACGACCATTGGTGAGCTCAATAGATTAGATTTATCCAAGTAAAATTATTTCAAAACCTTTTTCGTGTATGTTGATTGATATACAAAAACTCCATAGGATAAATACTCGATCTGTAGGCCGAGACAAAATTTTGTTTGCCCAAGATCTTTCTTCTCAAACTCACTTTTTAAATAGCAGATGGCTTTTGTGAGTTCTTCTGGAGTGCCTACTAAATTTAAATCATCAACATATACATCAATACCTAGTGTTAGATCTTTTGATAAAAATATTTGGTCATATCAAATCATTGATATATCCTACTTTTAAGAGATATTCACTAAGGCGATTATACCACATCCACCCTGATTGTTTTAATTCATACAACCATCGTTAAAGTTTAATTGAATACAACCTTTGGGGCTATAAATTATATGCTTATGGTATTTTGAATCCTTCAGGGATTTTCATGTATATCTTATTGTACAATGAGTCATATAAATATGCAGTAACGAAATTCATTAAACACATATCCAATCCTTCAGATACTGCAAGATCTATAAAAAATCTGAAAGTGATTGCGTCCATTAAAAGAGAATATGTCTTCTCATAATCAATACCAGGTCTCTACGAGAAACCTTGTGCCACAAGTTGTGCCTTGTATTGTTCAATTTCAATTTTTTTGTTGTGTTTTCTCACAAACACCCATTTATATCCAATGGGTTCAACACCTTGTGACATTTGGATTACAGGTCCAACTACATTGCATTTTGTTTGTGAGTTTAGCTATACCTGAATTACTTTTTTTTATTTTAGCCAATCATTTCTTAGTCAACATTCATTTTCAATTGTGCATATAAAAAGAAGAGACCAAAATGTTGTTCCAAATGTTGGGTAAAATTGCCTTATTTTACCTCATTTCTCTACATGAGGTAATTGTTTTATGGGATAACTCTCTTCAGCAGCACAAACTTATAGTTTGGTATTCTCTTTTGGAGCCTTAACCTTTTTATTTACTTTCTTTTGTTCTCTTCTTTTTCTAGGGACAATATCTTTTGTACCAACATGTCTACCATGCTTTAGGCATGCCTAAGACTCATTTGCAGCTATGCGGGCTTGTCTTACTGGGACATCAATTCTTACTGCTTGTCATTTTTTGATGAATCATTTCTTCTCAAGATATAACAATGGGCTTCCCAAGCATAGGAAAATTTTGCAATGTAATAACTTGGATAAATCCAAGGTCGTCTTATCAAGGAACATATGGAATTTTACTGGTGACGTGTGTGCAAATGAAAATAACAATCTTTTGACTTGTGGAAGAGATAAGAAATGAAATTCTAATGTATTATAATCAATAGAAAAATAGTTGGTTGATCCTTAGGAATCAACATACCATAGCCAAACAATTTGACTCTCCGTTTTAACTCATCCGAAGTTGTATTCAAATGTGCTCGAACGGATAATATTCAACAAAAAACCAAATTTTATACTATTTTAGCTTTAAAGATAGGAAGTAAAAGCTAGAATGATAAGCATTTAGATTGTGTAAATGATTCTTAAGAATTACTCGTGCTTGATGAACTGTCAACAATAAATCAAAGTAATCACTTAACAACTAATATCAAAATTGATTTTTTCCTTCTACAAAACATTTGATCGATTAGAAACAATTAGAGAATCACTATGCTTGATTATGGATGAGAATCATCTCTTGGATCGTGTCGATACTTAATCAAAAATAAAACCCATCAAAGCATAATCAACATAAAGCATCATGTAAAACTAATGAATATGGACAACAAAATGGGAAGAAGTAAACTCCAAAATATTAGCTTCAAAATATGAAGTTCAAATATAAAAATAAACCATACAAAGAAGAGCTTTGAAAATGAAATGGAATTCCTCCCGGTTGTCTTCTCCGAGCCCCTAGTAAATTTCTTACACTGTAAATTTAAACAAAAACTCCAACTTAACTCTTAAAAATCTCAATTAAAGCAAAGGCTAAAGAAAGGGAAGAAGAAGCTCCCTTGTGTAAAGACACACACACACACACACACACACATATATATATATGTTCCCCATTCCCTTCTTTTCATTGGACATAGAGTGTGGCATTATTGATGCGTGGATTATCGGAGAAGTTTCCTCCGACTCGTCCAATGGATGGTCATCTCAAAATGTGGGAGGTTGTTTCCACCAATAGGAACAAACTTCATGGGGATTGGTTGCCTCCCATGAGTGTAGAAGTGACATAGCCGACACCACGGACCAATTGAAACCCAAGAAAGCTATTCTCTCTGTAGCCGACTTAAGACCAACCAGTTGAAATTGTCTGATGAACCGGTTAAACAGCCCTGATGAATCGGTTGAAGATTTGTTATCAACCGGTTGAAGTATCCTCAATACCTTTGCCTTTTTGAAACTTCTTTGACAAACCGGTTGAAAACCAATTTTCAACCGGTTGATATGCTCACAGTATCTTACCTGTTTCTAGTATCCTCTGATCAACTAGTTGAATTTAGTTTCCAACTGGTTGAAGGTCTATTTTTACTCTGATCAACTGGTTGAAGTTGAATCAATTGAACTGGGATTTCCTTTGTTCTTTCTGATCAATTTCATATTGCATGTCCAATTCTACCTTAACTTCGTCTAATCCTTTTCTCATTGCTTTGCATACACTTACATTCACAAATACACCTTTAATCAATTTACAACCCAATTTCGAGAGGAATAAACATGAATTAAATAGATAACATGAATGGCTTAAGTTCTGTAATGCTAAACATATCCCTGAACCTAAGTTTTGCTAGTCCTTAGCAAACCAAAAATAAAAAGTATGCACTCCATTCATTTACTCATTTATGCACAACTAGACTTATGACACATTTATCACACAATCAATCAAAACATAACTAACAATTTTAAAACACAACATACAAAAAAAGACAGTTGATATATATATATATATTGTCAATGGGTACAGAAGTAATCAAAATATAACAACTCTAGGACACAAACAAAATTTTACTATCCTAAGTCATTGCATAACCCATTTAGACAAGTCCTAAAACAACGAAACTAGCAAATCCTAACATCATCTACTCAGAGTATCCATCGTCATCCATATCAAACTCAGACTTGGCCTGTTCCTCTTTACTTTCCATCTCATATACTGGATCACGAGGCTTAGTCATAGATACAAGTAGTGGCTCAGATACCAAAGTAGGTGTAACAGGCACTGAAGAAGTAACACCTACAAAAGTCAATGATGGTAGGACAAACAATGACTCTCTTGGCACAGTGTTGTCAATAATCCCATTTGCATCATGAAAGACGACTCCAAATCCCTAGCCATATGCACTTGAGTTCCTTTCATCTCCTCAAAGCCAGACTCCTAGCTATCTATCCTACGCTCTGGCCTCCCCATCCTCTAAAGCATAGTATTTCTCGAAATCGATGAAATAGGAACGGAGCTAGTATCAGCAGGTGCAGTGGTAGGGCCGATATGTGTAGAAGGAGAAATAGTAGGCCTATCTCTAGTAGCTATAGACATGATGTCACTCTTGCTCTCTAACCAACTACTAATGGGCCCCTTCTTAGGAGAAGTCAAAGAGTCTCTCATATATCTCTTTACCCCTGCAACCACACAAAAAGTGAGTAATCATATTAACAAATGACATATTTTGCCCTAGGTTTGATCTACAAAATATAATCCCAGATTACCCCCCACATAAACAACACCACATCCATCCTTTTCCCCTGCAGCACCTCATATAGCAAAATAATCTTTAAGATAGACAACCTCTAATCCGACCCCTTCAGAAATACATTATAGTGCTAAGATTTTACTCAAGGTCTTATATTCTCTAGTCAAACTCTTTACAATAAACTACCCATCAAACTAATTTGGCTCCTTATACATCAATCTTACATATTTTACCAAACACTTAGCCTTAAACTCTGTATTCCAAGTAGTTGGCTATCGAATCTGGGGTTACCTTGATCAGCTTACCACGTACTGTGGTCCTTAATATCATAAGATCTGTGTCTACCTTCTTCAACCTCAAATAAAACTTTCGACATAACTCCAAAATACACCTAGGCACCGACTCAAAGAAAAATTTAAAACCTAAATCCATTATCTGTTTCACAGCCACAGACTCACCTATATTCTTACGATCAACCATCCGCTCTCAAGTGGCAAAATTCCCATCCATGAGAGTCTCGTACTCCACTCTCGTTTCTTTCACCTCAAACTCATGAGGCTCATCATCCCCATCACGTTATCCATCACTATCACCCTCTGCAGTAGCTTTTCCTTTTCCTTTTCCTTTCTTGATGCTCTCGACTTTGAAGATGAAGATGAAGCTCTGCGGGTTTTGGCCATGCCCACCAAAAACCATACCTATCATCATAATAAACATAACACATCCAAAAACCATGAAAGCAACCCCTCAGACAAACCCTAGATGAATAACTCAAAGATTTTCTTGAAGCAATTTGATGGGACCGTAGGGTTTGGAAGTTTAGAAATTTTTGGTGGAGATGAGAGGGAAAAGATAGAAGGAAGAACTAAGGCTCTTAGGATGGTGGGTTATAGTTTTCAAAAATACGAGGAGAGTTTGAGAGAGTGGATTTAGATAAAATGGAAAGATTGAGCCAAAAAGCCATCCATCTCCCTTTTAAAAAGACCAAAACTTGACCTCACATCTACTAGTTGATCAACAGTGCTTCAACTGGTTGAACCACTTTTTTTTGCTCTGATGAACGGGTTCAAGTTCAACTGGTTGGTTCTCTCGTTTTTCAATTTTTCATTTTCTTATTGATTTGAACAATCCTAATACTTTTCCAAACCTATTTACATGCCTAAGACCTAGTCACACACAATATAGAAGTTGAAACACACAAAACATGTATAAAAATTACACAACATTCCAATTCAAAATGCATTCCAATTAAAAACACTAAATGAAATCTAAAGCCACTTTCTTTGGGTACACAATTGCATTTAGAAAATGCAACAAACCTTTAAAACCCCTAGGTCACCCATAGTAGATGAGTTGTGTCTCGTGAAGGTTTTTAGAGAAGATACCTACAAACTTTTATTTACATCCCAATTTAGACTATATTATAATATTCTAACTAGCAATGAGGTGTATTAACCATTCTTCCATCCACTTTAAGGTACTTCTATACTATTACATCATAGATTTAAATGATATGTAAAAGTATTTAGATACACATTTCCATAAGAGACTCGTGTATGTGTGAAATGATAATGTAATTCAAGAAATTTATCAAATAAAACCTACATCCATATTAGCTATCCAAATTAGCTTTGATGAAAATCTCACCACAAATTTTTCTCTCAAAACATACAACACTCTGATTATACTAATGTTCCATTCATTCTCTATATGTGAGACGGATTCTTGTAATTCAAAGCAAATTATAACTCACATATCATTCAACAATGAAAGACAATCATGCAATTGAAACGACCTTGACATAATCTCATGAAAGGAATGCTAGGGCAAATGAAAGTAATGCAGTTGACCTATCTATAGTTTTGAACATACACTTGCCATAATTTCTAAGATCAAATAGGACTTTAACTGGTTGTAACGTGCCCTCAAGGGAAAATTGAGCTAAAGAAATGAAGGGATATATGAATTCAAAAAGAAGTAATCCTGAGAATATGTCTTTACTAACCATATCTCCTCTCTTGAAATTAATTGGTTTTCTTCATTTCTATTTCTTTCCCTTTTTCATTTCTATAACTTTTTCTTTTCTCTCTTTTTTTTTTCTTCTCTTTTTCACCTCCTTTATTTCTTCTTGTTTTCTTTGCTTTGCTTTCCATAAATATCAAAAATTTGCTCAAATATTCATCACCCCTTTTTGTTCCATTCTTCTTTTCTTTTATTTTGTTTCTTTTTCTTTTAACCACAATCCTTTTTTAATAATATAACCCTATTAATCCCGGGACAACCAAGGTAAGATAAATATAAATTATGCTTGACTTTGCTAAACATGTGGCTAAAGAAATCAAATTTATATTCAAGCTCAACTAGGGCTTCTAGGGATGATATTAAGAAAGAACAGACTAAGACTCAAATTAATTCACAAATGACTTAAGATCATTTCTTGAAAATACATGGCAAGGTACCCTTTGCATTGAGATATAATCAACTAATTACCCTATTTACACTAATCAAAACAAAAATAATGAGATTATTGAAAGAAATTAAAATTGAAAGAACAATATTTTAAGTAAGTGTATTTCAACCATCCAGTAAAGAATGACTCAAAAGATCACAAGAGTAATGCATTCATCTCCGCTATGTATGTCAAGCATTTTAAGATGAAAATATTATTCAATAAATTACAAAAATTAGTATTCTCATGGTGCAAATAGGGTAAGTTTCACATGAAAACACATATATGATATTTAAACATAGAACAAGTTTTTATAATGTGTTAGCACGCAAATAACTCAAGATTCAAGTCAAATAATTATCAATCTCATGCTAATTAAAAGGGAATAATACACTCCAAGTTGGATGTTTTGTTTTGTTTTTCTCATCTTTTTCATTTTTTTCTCAATTTTTTTTTCAAAATTTCTCATTTTAGCATACAACCTGGTGGTGCCATATAGTCATGGTGCACCCTTACCCCCAACTTAAATCATGCATTGTCCTCAATGAAAATAATTATGCAATGAGAAAATGAAGACAACAAGGGTAAGACAACACTTGACACTGTTTCCATAAAGAAAAATCACTAGCTGCAAAACAACAAAAACTATAAAAAAAGAAATACGTACAATGAAATAACTGCACATCAAATAGAAAAATAAAGACCACCATTGTACACTATTATTATCGAAAGAAACTACTTAGCATCAAGATCTTGATACACAAGATCAACCAATTCTTCTACAATCTCCTCAGATGAAAAATCTTCCAAAAATGACTTAAGCTGATGTCCATTGACTTTAAAAGTTTGACCATTCTTAGGATTTTGAATGTCCATAGCCCCGTTAGGATAGAAAACATAGACTGTATAGGGGCCAGTCTATCGCGAATGCAACTTACCTAGGAAGATGAGAAGACGGGAATTGTATAATAATAATTTTTAACCTAGCTCAAAGGTTTTTCTTACTATTGATTTATCATGAAAAATTTTAACCTTTTCTTTATAAATTCTAGTACTGTTATACACATCTCGATGTATTTCCTCTAATTTATTCAATTGCAATTTCCTATGCTTTTCGGATGGACCCAAACTATAATTCAATAACTTATGACCAAATATGATTGGTGTTCAATCTCCACTGGCAAATGACAGGCCTTGTTGTATATCAACCTATAGGGAGACATACCTAAATGAATTTTGTATATTGTACGGTAGGCCCATAAAACATCAATCAATCAAATTGACCAATCCTTACGGTTAGGGTTTACCCTTTTTTTCAATATATGCTTAATTTCCCTATTGGCCAATTTAGCCTTGTCGTTTGTTTGTGGGTGATAAGCAGTAGACGTTATGTGTGATACCGTATTTGTGCATCAAAATCCCAAATGGCCTATTGCAGAAATGTGAAGCACCATCACTAATGATTATCTTAGGCATTCCAAACCTAAACAAGATATTTTTCTTAAAAAATTTAATAACAACTTTATGATCATTTGTCTTATCTTGTATGACCTCTACCTACCTAGACATGTAATTAACTGCCAGTAAAATATATAAATAATAAAATGAGGAAAAATGACCCATGAAAATAATACCCCAACAATCAAATATCTCGATCACCAGAATGGGAGTAAGGGGCATCATATTCCACTGAGTCACACCACCCAACCTTTGACACCAGTCACAGCTCTTGCAGAACTGGAAACAATCTTTATAGAATCCACACTGCATATTTGATAAGAAATGGCCTCCACATGTGTTTGAATGGCAGAAAGAAATGACATCATGCTGCTCGCCATCGGGTACACATCTTCTCATAACCAAGCCAACGCAACATTTAAATAAATAAGGGTCATCAAAGAATTTTTTTTTCACTTCCACAAAAAAATTTATTTTCTCTTGTGGACTCTAATGAGGTGATATTTGTTTTGTAACAACAAAGTTAACAATGTCAGCATACCAAGGAGAAGATGCAGTAACAAAAAATAAATACTCATCAAGAAAAGTATCCTAAATGGGAAATGCTCATGCATGTCCTAATACACAAGTCGAGATAAATGATCACTACCTCATTCTCAACTCCTTTCTTATCTTTAATGATCAGAAATAATTCTTATAGGAGGAAAATCCGCCTAATAAGTCTCAGTTTTGTTTCCTACTTATACAACAAATACTTCATAGAAAAATGATCAGTATAGACAACAATAGGTGAACCAATGATATAAGATCTAAATTTATCAAGTGCAAAGGCAACAATTCCTTTTTTATAGCAGTGTAATTCATTTGTGCCCAATTTAGGGTTTTGCTAGAATAGTAAATAACATGTGGTTTCTTACCTTGCTTTTGGTCTAATACAACTTCCATTGCATAGTCACTTGCGTCAAACATAAGCTCAAATGGGAGGACCCAATTTGGTGGTTGTATGATTAGAAATCAACATATTTTTCATTTTTTGAAAAACGACCTTAAAATCAGGTGACTACACAAATTGAGCTTCTTCTGCCAAATGATTACGTAAAGGTTGAGATATGACACTAAAACCCTTTATGAATCTCCTATAGAATCTGGCATGATCAAGAAGTGAACGCAAATCCTTTAACTTTTTTGGGGTAGGTAGATTGAAAATTAACTCAATCTTTGCTTTGTCAACCTCTATCCCTTTTACAAAAACAATATGATCAAAAGCAATTCCTTTAGTTGCCATAAAATGATATTTTTCCAATTTGAGCACCATACTCTTCTCTTCACACCTCACTCATACATTTTCCAAATTCTCCAAACAATCTTCAAATGGATCTCCAAACAACAAAAAACCATCCATAAATACCTTAATAATCTTCTCCAAAATATCATTAAAAATTTCCACCATGCACCTTTGGAATGTTCATGGGGCATTACATAGCCCAAATGACATAAGTCTATAAGCAAAAGTTCCGAAGGGGCAGGTGAAAGTATTATTCTCATGATTTTCCAAAGCAACTTCAATTGATTG